CTGTCCTGGGGGAGGCAGGGGGAGACCAGGTGGACTGGAGTAGATTGTTGAGAGATGCTGGTGTGGTGAACATGTCCAGGAAACCACGAGCCTCCAGCCCATTGTCCAACAACCACCCGCCAACACCAAAGAGGCGAGGAAGGGGAAAGCATCCTCTCAACCCCAGCCCAGAAGCCCTATCAAAGTGAACGGCCCACCCAAGTTCTGACTCCTGTGCTCCCCTGGCAAAACGCCCACCCCAGTCTGTATCATTTCTCTATGAAGCCTCTGTTCTCCCCCCTCCTCCATCCTCTTCCCCAAACCAGTGCCCTTCTTTGATCTCCCTGTTGTCCTTCCAGGTTCCCAAGACAACCCGGAAGGGAAAAGGGACCCGCCAAGGAAGTTCCAGGAACAAAAGTCTCTCCCTGAAAGACCACCATTTCAAAAAACCCTGAGGAATAGAGTGGGCCAACACTATCCAGCCACTCTGACCGGCCAAATGAGGAACTCAATCAAAATGAGCCGCAGCAGGACCACAAGGACATGGAGACTTCCCCCGTCTCCAGCAACTCCTTGGGCAACCAGTAATTCCTGGGCAAGGCCAGAGACCTCAAGTCTATCGGTAAAGTCTCCAGAGGTCTAACCCCAAATAAGTAGCCAACAGGGTGTAGAGTACATTTTACACCCCACAGGGTATGCCCCATGGTGATGGAAATAAAATGAACATGTTGTGAAATGATGTGTGTGTCTGTGTGTCTCAAATGGTGGGGGTAGGGAGTAAGGGGGAAGAGGTGGGAATGTGGGAAGGGAGGGAGGGGGGATCCTCTACAATTTATTTAAATTCAACTTGCTCTTCTTTCTTTAGTTTCCTAGGGTGATAGTTTTAGTTATTGATTTTAGATTTTATTTTCTAATATAAACATTTAAAATATGCTATATATTTCCCTCAAAGAAATACTCTAGCTGAATCCCACTTTTTGTATGTATATTTTTATTTTCATTCAACTTAATGCATTTTTAGAATTCTCCTGAGACTCCCTCTTTGACCCATAGGTTATTTGGGAGCATATTTTAAAATTTCCAATGTTTGGGCATTTTTCAGATATCTTGGTGTTTGGTTTTGAGTTTAATTATATTATGGTCTAAGAAGAGGCTTTCTATTATTTCTATTCTTTTAAATTTGTAAGCTTTGTTTGATGGCCCAGAATACCACCTATCTTGGGAAATATTTCATGCACACTTGAGAGGATTGTTTATTCTGCCAATCTTGAATGCAGTGCTTTTCTTACTCTTTTATTTGGTCAGAGTAGTTAATGGTGCTTTTCAGGTCATCTATATACTTCCTGGTTTTCTGCTTACTTTTTCTCCTAAATACTGAGAAACAAATCAAACAGTTTTGACAAATATTTAGTCCCATGAAACCACAACCACAGTGAAGGTGCAAAATATATTCATCATCCCCAAAAGTTTCTTCCTGTCTTCTTGCTGTCAAACCACCCCTTCAGTAGAAGTGATCCAAGGTGAGCAGAAGTGAGCATCCACCAACCATGAGCATTTTCCCTATTAACAAAGGCAGGTAGGCACAGAGAGCAGCAGTTGCTTTCACACACAGGCAGCACCCAGGAGGAAAACCAGATCGACAGTGTCAGAAGGAGAGCTTTCTGGCCGGGACACAGGCTGTCGCTCCCTTTCTTGCACACTGCCAATCCCCAAGTCTGGCTCTGCCTTCCTGGCCTCCCTGGCTCAGGTGGGCGATTCACACCACCTCTGCATGTCCCCCACACTCCCTACAGACTGAATTAAGGGACTTGCCACTTTCTTTTGTTTTGTTGACTTGGTGTTTCCTCAGCATATATTCAATAAAAGTTTCTGTAGGAATTAATAAGTGCATGGAATGAATGAAATTACCAGGCATGGGAATTCTTTTATTCAGATTATGGAGTCTGCCTATCCCGGGCCTCCTGCCTGCATGAAGAAACCCACAGTTCCTTCACCTGTGCTCCTTTGGGTTCAGAAATTCCGTGGCAACTACCACAGAGCGGGTCACGGCAGACGCCTTCTCCCTAGACCCAAACACTGTCATGGAGATGAGGATGCTCCCAACAGGATGGTGCATGATGCTTCCTCTATTGGACCCCACATATCCCCATCAGTTCCACAAGGAAGGGTGCCAACTCCACTGCCTTGCCATCCAACCTGCTTACGTACACAGCATGGGCCAGCCCACTACGGCAGACACTGTCTGGTGGCAACATAGACCAGTGATCAGAGCCCCAGGACACCTGTTTCCTCGTGTGCCAAGAGATCAGAAGTCTCACGAGTCCATCGGAGACATAGTCACCACCTGCATCTTTTTCATTGCATGTCCACAGTCAGTCCTTCATCTGCAGAGTTGGAGTTGACTAGTCCCAGGGCACTCTTCCTCCAACTTCCTCTCCATGCAGCCATGCTGCCACCTTACACTCCTCATAAATATTCCTGGCCTGTCTTGGTTGTTGCTCAGTCCAGGCTCTATGGAGGGTCCACAGGGGATAAAACAGCAGCCCGCAGCAGGCATGAAGACAACTCCCTGCCCTGGGACACTGGCAAAAGTGCACACAACCACTGGAGTGGTCGAGAGAGGGAACTCACCCAGAATGATGCAGGGAGCCAACCATACTCTTCGTGAGAGAGGGAAGGGGATTCTGAGGGAGGGTTGGGTGTTTAGCACACCGCTGGTGCGTTCAGTCAACAGGCTTGTCCATTCAGATCACACGGACCCCTCCAGCTGGTGATTATGATACTAGAATTTTCGAAGCCTATTCCTGTTCATTGTCCTGCCCTCCATCTTCCCTTACCCCTTCTGTCCCTCAGGTTCCTGCCCCCACCGGACTGAACTCTGGATTCAGAGCTCTGAATGACAGCCTGCCTGGGATCCTGTGGACTTCGTTTCATATATGGTCTCTCTCATGGACTCTGGCCTTTGCTCTCCCCTTATATTCGTTCATTTTCATACTGCTGTAAAGAAATACCTGAGACTGGGTAATTTATAATAAAAAAAAAGAACTTTAATGGACTGACAGTTCTACATGGCTGGGGAGGCCTCACAATCATGGCAGAAGGCAAAGGAGCAAAGATATGTCTCACACAGCAGCAGGCAAGAGAGCATGTGCAGGGGAACTGCCCTTTGTGAAAACATCAGATTTCCTAAGACTTATTCACTATGGCGGGAACAGCATGGGGGAAACTTACCCCTGTGATTCAATTACCTCCCAACTTGTCCCTCCCATGACACCTGGAGATTATGGGAGCTACAATTCAAGATGAGATTTGGGTGGGGACACAACCAAACCATAACACCGCTGGATCCTCCCTATTACCCTCATGGGCCGAGGGTGTCCTGTCTGCTCTCCTTCCCTGGCTCCTGTTCATTCTGATCAAATCCTTCTCAAAGGATTTGAGAAATGTCGGGTCCCCATTTCAGAATTTTAAATCATGCCTAGAGAAATGTTACTCAGCATGTCACTGCATAAATCCAACTTCATATGGCTAAGGGATTAAGTTAGTGTGTACTTAACCGAATTAGAGAAAGGAAAGACACAATTTAAAATAACAGCGAGGCAATATTTCTTCACCAAATTTTATTCATAATTTTCACCAACAATTAGAAGATTGATAACACAAAATCTTTCTGTGAGTGTAGGATATTCACGTCTATTCATTTGTGAGAAAATTCATTGGTACAGTATTTTTGGAATACATTTTGACAGTATTTCTAAAGAGTTAAACTATTCACACCATTTCTACATTAACCCAATGCCCATGTTAATATATCTTTCTTATTGGAAAGCATGCCTATGTGTCCAAAAACATATGCTTATTTCAGTTCTATTAATCATAGCAACAAATGGGAAAGAATGTATGTGTTTATCAGGAAAAGAAAAGTTTAGTTAACTATGGCACCCACCCGCTTTAGAATTCTAGGGGATATTTACAAAAGTGATGTCAGTGGTAGGTACAGTTGGGGGAAGACCTTGCATTCATCTTATTACGTGGGAAAGGCATGTGACATGTCAATATGTACATCACTACTTGTGGGTGTTAGAAACACTATTTATAATTTTCATAAAACATCCATGTCCAAAAAATCCTTGACTGAGCTTTAAAATGCTGTGCACGGAGCTCATCCTCCACCATCTTCTTCATCAAATCACCACCAACTCACCCTTCTCCCTCCCTCTCAACTAACGGAACAACATCACTAACCTCAGAAGTCAGGTCAATAGAGACTGTATCCATCAGTTCACAGTCCCTCACTTCCTAAAACTCTTACATGTCTTTCCACCTCACCATCTCCCTCACGCCCCCCAGAGACTGAGTTAAGGGCACTGCTGCTTTCTTGTGTTTTGTTGACTTCGTGTTTCCTCAGCATATATTCAATGAAAGTTTTCTGTAGGAATGTGTAAGTGCATGGGATGAATGAAGTTATCAGGCATGGGAATACTTTGATTCAAATTATGGAGTCTGCCTGTCCTGGGCCTCCTGCCTACATGACAAAACCCACAGTTCCTTCACCTGTGCTCATTTGAGTTCACAAATCCCGTGGAAACTACCACGGAGAGGGTCACTGCAGACGTCTTCTCCCCTGGACCAAACACTGTCATGGAAGTGAGGATGCAGCCAACAGGATGCTTCCTGTATTGGACCCCGCATGTCCCCATCAGTTTAACAAGGAAAGCTGCCACCTCCACTGCCTTGCCATACAACTTGCTCACGTTCAGACCTTGGTCCAGCCCTCTCCCCTGACAATGTCTGCTGGCAACATAGGCCAGCGATCACTGCCCTAGGACACCTGTCCCCTTGTGTGTCAAGAGTTCAGAAGCCACAGATGGCTATCTGAGACACAGTCACCACCTGGATCATTTTCAAGGCACGTCCACAGCCAATCCTTCATCTGCAGAGTCTGAGCTGACTAGTCCCTGGGCACTCTTCCTCCCATTTCTCCTCCATGCAGTCCCACTGCCCCTTTCAACTGCATTCCTGGCCTGTCTCATCAGTTGGTCATCAGTCAGCAACCCACTCACATAGCCCAGCCTCTATGGAGGGTCCCCAGGGGATAGAACACCAGCCCCGAGCAGGCATGAAGACAGCTCCCACATCTGGGACGCTGGTGAAGGTGCAAAGGACCACTGGAGTGTTCAAGAGAGGTAGCTGGCCCAGAATGATGCAGAGAGTCAGCCAAGCTCTTCCTGAGAGAGGGAAGGGGATTCTGAGGGCAGGAAGGTTGACCAGCACAGCCCTGGTGCATTCAGCCAACAGGCCTGCCCACTCAGATCACAGGGCCCCCTCCAGCTGGTGATGATTGTGCCGGGATTTCCCAAGCCTATTCCTATTCGTTGTCCTGTCTTCCCTCCTCCTTCCCCCTTCTCCCCCTCAGGCCCCTGACTCCACCGGCCTGAACTCTGGATTTAGAACTCGGAGTGCCAGCCTGCCTGGGGTTCTATGGACTTGGTTTCACATGTGGTCTCTCTCATGGACGCCAGCAACGGCTGGATCCTCCCTTATGGGCTGAGGGTCTCCTGTCTGCTCTCATTACCTGGCTCCTCTTCAGTCTGACCAAATCCTTCTCAAAGCAGAGAAGAAATGTCCGGTCCACATTTCAGAATTTTAAATCGATTGTGATTTTTATGAGAATTTGAATTGGTACAGCATTTTTGTAATACAATTTTAGAAATATTTTAGATGTTAAACTATTTTCACCCTTTCACTTCAACCCAACGTACGTGTTAATATATCCTTCTTCTCAAAACTTCTAGAATCTGAGTCAAAGATCAACTCCTTCCCTCTCTCCCAGCTGCTTTCCCACCCAATCCACTATTTTCATGCATTTTGTTACCATCCAAAATCTAGCCCGTGCTTACAGTTAGTCAAATCGCACTTAAGATTAGCTAGTCAGAATGCCTTTTTAATGGAGTCAGCTCTGGTTCTCCCTGCCTGGCAGAAAAGCACCTGGCCAGTGGCTTCTGGGCCACCCTTCCCGGGAAATTCAGCCTTATTGCTCAGGAAACCCATGCAGATGATTGGTGTCCATCACCTATTTCTTGGGTTGTGTTCAATAGTAGTGGGACAAAAGCACAGGGCACTTTCCATTCCTGCCCCAGGTGGAGACTCCTCTCTCTTCATCCCCAATCCGAAATAAACCACTCAGAGTTGCTTTCCATTCCAGGCTTTTCTCTCACTCTCTGAGAATCTGGCCCTGCACCCACCCAGCTTCATTAGAGTCAGCTCCTTCAGAAGGAACTGCAGTTTATCAAAGCCCCAAATGCCCTAGCTCAGGGCATTTACACTCCACCATTCTCACCTGGAGGCCCACACCCTCACCCCTCTCTTACATTTCCCCTACATCTTACAGGACTTCTCACCACCTTAATTATATGACTGCAGCTCCTAGACTCTACAACCCTATGGGGAGACGTGAGTGTGGCTTACCTTAGCATCTCCACTACTAACCCAGGGCCTTCCACAGAGCAGATGATGCGTGAATGGAAAAGAAATGAGCCAGGGAACAGAAAGAATTATTTATTCAGATTTAATTTCACTTGCATTCTCAAAGAAGCCCAGGAAATCCAGGTATGCATATTTATTTAATTTTACAGAATAGACTGAGGTATAAGGCAAGAATTAACTATCTTTTAATGTCTTGAGTTCTTTATCCCTTGTATGTCATTGCTAATTCGCTCACAATTTTAAGCAAATACTTTTTCACTGCTGTAATTACGTCACAATTCACAAAATGGAATGGATTTCCCAATCTGAATAAAAAACAAGACTTTTACTCCTAAACTATATAAACAGCACTATGTGTGACTACTGTCATTCACAAACGTGGATGCTGAAGTTCATTCAACCACCTGTTAAAAGGAACATTTGAGCAATTCCAACAGGAAACAAAGATAAATCTCCAAGTCATCCAATAGAACAGAAACCCAAAACTGAGAATGCTGACTGCTCTCTTCAAAGAGTGAATGAAGAATGGGCCTCATGTCACACAAGGCAGTGGAAGCTAACGGATGGGGCCCTGGAAGGTGCACTGGCCCAGACCCCTCCCACTGGCCCTGGCTACAACGTGTGCTCGGACTCACTCTTCCCCCTCTCTCAAAGCCCATTCATGCAGGGGTGGGTAGGAAAAGTGAGGTCCTCCACTGATTTTTAGCATATGGTACAGGACTTTCACATAGCTGGTTTCAACGAGGGCCCTTGGACCCCACAGGAACTCGTAGCATGCAGGATCACTGCCAGGCACCTGCCGGTAATCCAGGTAGTTTTCCTGCACGAAATCTTGGGTGAGCAGCTTCCTGGGATCCGCGAAGATACTGTGCTCCCTCCCCTCAAACACCTCCAACACACTCAGCTCCTCCCAGATTTTCTCCTCAGGGGCGCAGTCGCCCTCTTTTGCGATTATGGCCAGGACGATTATCAGGAGGCCTGTCTTGGGCATGATCTGATTGTCGCCCAGCAGGCCATCGTAGGAGAGGCCCAGGCAGGTGACAAGGATGTACAAGTGGCCGACTGGGTCCACTTCCATCAGCTCGATGCCAAAGACCAGCTGCAAGGAATCAGATGCTTTGCTGAAGATCACAGGAAAGAAGTACTGGCAATTTCTCATGACACTCCCCAGCATTTCTGCCTTTGTGACTGGCTCCCTGACTCGATACTTGAGGAGCAGAAAATGAACCAACTCAGCCACCTTCCTACTGAGTGCTGCCTGGAAGCCGGACTCCAGGTCAGGAAAGGTGCTTGGCGCCTCCTCTTCTTGGCTGCTGGAGTCCTCATCAGATTGGCTCCAGAGAGTGTAGTTGATGGTAGTGGGGAGGGTGGAGGCTCCCTGAGGACTCTGGGGAGGACCCGGTGACTCAGCAGCAGGCACCTCCCCCAGGGTGACTTCCACTACAGTAGAAGAGGAGGAGGCAGTCTCCTGCTCCTCAGTAGCAGAAGCCTGTGCACCCACCAAGCCCAGGGCCTCTCCTCGGGCCTCAAGGCCTTCTTCAGGCTTGTAGTGTTGACTCCTCTGCTCAAGAGGCATGCTGACTCTGGTCAGGGCAGTAGGCGGGAGTGTGGGCAGGAGCTGGGCAATGGAAACCCACAGGCCTGGGGAGAGAGGAAGTGTGTGAGAGCCCTGAGCCAAAAACTGAACTAACCTTGGAGGCTCCAACAAAGGCTTACTTACAGATCTTCTCCTTCCGTGCTCCTCCAGGGGCCTCTGGTCCTCCTTGTCAGCCTGTCCCCTCAGAACCTGAAGGAGGAAGTGAGAGAGCACCTCAGGTTACAGCTGGCCAGCGCATGCTGAGGCTGCAGGACTGAAAGTATTGAGGGTGAGGCCAGACGCACTGGAGTCCCACGTGTTCTGGGGCTGGTGTGGCCCTTGGTGTGAATTCAAGTCAAACCTTCACTGTTGGCTCTATCTCAGCTCCTCTACTCTGTGACCTGAGGATACTGCCTCAGACACGTCCTCACTGCTTTGTTCCTGGAGCTCCCGATTCCTGGGAGAAGAATCCACGGGCCCTCAATGTGCAGACAGTAAACCCAGCCATGGATTCCCAGAACTGTCAGGAGGACTGGCGAGACTCTGTGAGGTCCCCACTCTACTGGGGTGGACGGTACCCTCTGTGCTCACTCAGGGCTCCCAGCTTTCTCCTTATAGGGCCTAATCCCTCCCTTTTGCTGGTCTGAGAATCTCTCATGTCAAGAACTCACATCCCTGATATGGTACAGATAAACATGAGGGGACCCACATCTGGCCATACATTCCCAGATCCTCCCAGGAAGGACAACGAGAGATGTCCAAATTTATTGAAGTCCATGTGCCCTGGGTGAGGAGACTGCTTGGTCCTCATCTCCACTCGTGGCAGGGTCTGAGAGCCTCCCTCTACTTACCTGAGTGCAGCCCCCTCAGACCAAGGCCTCCCCTTCCCTGACATCAATGATCCTAGGATAACGGAGGGACCTCGGCTGACAGCCCTGCCCGGGTTCTCTGAGGTAACAGCAGGGGCAGGGTAGATTTTTTGGGGCCCGCAGTCCACATTCTGTCCCAGGCCCAGGGGTACCCTCAATCCTCCCTCAGCCTCCCCACCTGGACGCTTGGCAGAGCCTAGTACCACTGCATCTGTCAACCAGATGGGGGCCCCATGGAGGTACACCTTGGGTCCTGCAGATCCTGGGATTCCTCCCTCTGCTGAACTGAAGTCCCACTCTTCAGGCCACAGCCCTCAACCCTCTGTCACTCTGAAGGCGCAATGAGCACAGGGCACATTCAGTCACTGTGCCCAGCATCCCCTAGCCCAAGGTTTCCACCGATCTGGACTCCAAGGTCCCCTCAGTCCTCCCTCTTCTTCCTCCCCTTGACTCCTCGCAGGGCTGGGCCCCAACCCCCTGCTGAAGTGGCTCTGCATGCCTAGGATTCCCGTGGCCTAATGAAAAGGTGCCTCAGTTTGAGACAGTGGTACAGAGGGCCTCTTGTCCTGGCATGCTGGGTCCCCTCAGGACTCCACTGTCTTTCAGGAGGGCCTAGGCCCTTTCGCTGCTTCCCAAAGGCCGTACTGACGATACCGAACCCCTTCCCTCCCTTAGCCGTAGATGTGAACCTCAGGATTCACGTGCCTGGCCGCCATTCCCGGAGCTTCCGTGAGTTGATACCAGGCGCAAAGCCTGGATTCTGCCAGGATGAGGGTGGAGGTGGGGATGGAAATTGGAAGTGGGGAATAGGGGTGGGGTTGGTGTTGGTGGATCGGGGTGGGGTTGGTGTTGGGGGATGGGAATGGCGGTGGGGGTGGTGGTTAGGTTGCCCTCAGTCGCCTCTTGGGGTCCTGACCTTGATTCCTGGAACAGCGTGGGTCCTGACCTCTTCTCACCAGCCCTGCCCTGGCAACATTAAGCTCCGTCCCCAGAGTTCCCTGTGGTTAAAGCAGTGGGGGTTGGCGGGGTGAGGTGGTGGCGACCCAGCCTTCAGGACGTCTTCCCTTGTGAGTGTTCCAGGCCTGGCAGCAGAGGCAGCGCTGGATTATTTGGGGCCCTCTATCTGGGGTAAGGCGTGCCCCAGTCCTCCCTCAGCGTCTCACCTTGCCTCCTCACCAAGCCTGGGCCTGCTTCCCTCCGCCGACATCAGGCCGTTGCTCAGGGCGAGAATCTCGCCGCCGTCTGACCGCCAATGCGCAAGTCAGTGGCGTCACATCCGGGCAACTGTACTTCCCTGGGTTCACAGCAGGGGTGGAACTGGATTCGGCCTGGATGGGGATCTGGATGGGGATGGGGGTGAGCACGAAGATGGTGATGGGTGAAGGGGTAGAGATTGGGATGGGGATCCTGAGGCTGTATGTCCTAGTGGGATCAGGGGAGTTGGGGGTGGGAGGAGGCTTCGGCCATCCCTCAGGGGCCTGAAGTTGATGCCTGGCTGAGTCAGGACCGCCATCATCTGCCAATGGTTTCTGCTCCACTCAGACCAAGTCTCTGAGTCCCCCCGAAGTGGCATTGGGGGAAGCGCTGTGTTCGGGGTGACATCATTGCCTGCGTTTACCAGGGCTGACAAGAGGGGCTGAGCTGGATTCTATGGTCCCTCTATGTGTGTGTTGGGGGGGGCGGGGGAGGACCCTCAGTCCTCACTCAGTAGGGTCCTCTTCCTCACCCCTGGCTGTTGGATGAAGTGATGGGCAGGAGATGCTCTGTTTCTGTCACCTCTGAGCATTTGCACAGCTGCACCCCTTGTAAAGAATGGCTGCAGGTCCCAGGTCAGGTGCTCCCTGCAGGGCGGCAGCCCCCGCGATTGTAGTGACCTCTGGGAGAAGACGCACACCTTCCCACGGGGGCTCCTCCCCAGCCAGGGTTACACTTGGCAAACTTTTGGTACCAAATGATTTATTCTCTGAATCAAAGAAATAGGGTTTACATATCTTACAAGTATATATGTAGGTAGCTATATATATATATATATACACACACACATATATATATTTCTATGAACTAACACCTACCCTTAGTATGCATAATTCACTCTGATATCCTATTCTATTTCAGTCTTTGTGTTCTGTTGAAATAATTTTTTTTAAAACGTAATTCCTCTCCCACAGTGTTGGTTTCAGGTTGTTGTTAGCAGAACTCTGGAGCCATACTGCCTTAACCAACCCAATTTTCCTGGTGTCCTGCTGTTTCCCGAGGCCCTTGGCATCGTACTTTCAGGGGCTGCCTCAGACTGTGCAATGAAGTGAAGTGGAAATTTAAAAACTTTTATTCCACCCATTCTGTCATCTGCCGTCTAGGCAGGCTACAAACCTCCCCAACGTCCCTGCTGCTAACCCCCTCCAACCGACACTGCAAGTGTCAAACACAGGTACCAGCTCAACACAGTCTTCAATCTCACCGTGGGCTTTCTCTGTTTTGTTACGTAGATTTTGTTGCTGATACTGTTTTTTAACTTTCCGTTTCCATTCTGTAATTTTCCAGGTTTGATTTGGGAAGCAGAACACAGCAGCCCAAATTTGTTGTAATGTTGGCGGCTACAGGTAAGGCACTAAATTGTAAATAATTTAAGCTGAGTTTACATTTTTACACTGTTGTGTTCCCCATTAATGAGTATGTTATATTCCGCTATGTATTCCAGTCTCTTTTTACCTGAATATGTCCGTATACTTTGATAGTTGTCTCTATAAAGACTTATACGTTTTCATTAGACTTTTTTTCAGGTAATTCTTGGATTTTGTTGCTATTGCAAATGGCAAATTGTCTATTAATTGTTGTAGTTAGTTATTGCTTTTGTGAGATGAAGATTTTGATTTTGCTATAGTAATCTGTTGTGCATCTCATTCTGAAGGCTGACGCACTTGAATTTTCCACACACTTTTTCCTTTGAATTTTCAAGTTCAACAATGGTATTATCACTAAACATTACATGTTTTTCCAATATTCATACCAGTTACTCATTTTGATACTTATAACTCTTTGTGTCTCAATCCTGATTTCAAATGTAGAGATAATAGTCTACATCTACTTCTCGTTCCTGACTTGGTTGATAATTCTTCGAACGTTTCACATTTAAGTATGTTTGCTGTTGATTTTAGGAAATGGAATTTCTCTTTGAATATAGGTTAAATACTTTTTTTTTGTTATGATGAACTCATATTAAATTTATTTTAAAAACTTTTTCTGTACTCATTGACATGATCAAATTTTTTCCTCCTCCATTTTGTATGTAAGGAATTACAATGAAAGAGGTTTTTATTCCTAATGTTAAACCATATGGTATTTCCTTGGGCAGAGCCTGTTTACTCATTTAATATGCTAGCAATTTACGTAGGATATATACTGTTATGTAAGGGAGCTTACTTAATGTGTCTTCTTTTTCCATAAGGGGTGGGATGTCGTCCCCATCTGGTTTTTGAATCCAGGAGGGCTAGTCTGGGAGAATGAATTGAACAATTGTCAGTATTTTGTGTGTTCTAGAAGAGATGAGATAAGATGTTGGTTAGTTTTCCCTGATCATTTGGTAGAATTGGCCCCCAAAACTGCCTAACCTGGAATGTTTAAGGGTAGCTTGAGCTTTGAATGTTGTACAGTTTCAGTTTTTATAGTTTAAATAATGTTTTCTTTTTGGATCAGTTTGGTTACTGATTGATTTTATTTGCACAAAGTGGTCAGTTTCATTTAGGATTTCACTTTTAATGGCATATTTATGATAAAAAGCATTGTATTAGGGAAAACCTTCACACATGCAGAGTAATAGAAATTAATATAATGAACCCAGTATACTTGATACCCAGCATGAACAACTTGAAATACACAGCAAATCTGGTTCCAGTTAGACACTCGCCTACCTGCATATCAGCTTGTGGAATAACATGGAGCAAATCTAAGGCATTATACCATTTCATCTCTAAATAATTCTATATGCATGTTTAAAAGATAAGGACGTTCTATTAAACAAAATCCCAATAGTTTACATAACTGAAAAATTATATAAATGATTATCAAATGTTCAACTATTTTACACGCTTATCTGGCGGACTTATACTTTATAAAAAATATATTTCTTTGATGGAGTACCCAAATATGGTAACTTTCCCCCTACTTGCTTCACTGTGGTGGTTTCATACATCTGTAATACAGCTAGGTAGGTTTGTGTGTGTGTGGAACATTCTACATTCTGTCCCATGGTTCTCCAACTTCTTAAGTTACTTTTAAAATTCATGTACATTAAGCTTCAGTCTTTGTGCTTTAAAGATCTATAGGTTTTGACAAATGCCTCGTGCCATTGTCTTAGTCCATTTGGGCTTCCATAACAGAAATAGTGTCGACTGGGTGGCTTATAAACAACACAACTTTATTTCTCACATTCTGGAGGTTGGGAAGTCCAAGATCAAGGTGCTGGCAGATTTCATGTCTGGTGGAGACCTGTCCCTAGTTCATAGACAGCAGCGTTTTCCCTATGTCCTCACATGGAAGAAGGGGCAAGGGATCTCTGTGGGGTGTATTTTATAAAAACATTAATCCCATTCATGAGGACTCTGCTCTAATGATCGAGTCATTCTCCAAATATCCCACCTTTTACCTACTACCATCACCTTGGTATTTCAGCACATGAATTTTGTGGGAACACAAATGCTCAGATGAAAGCAAGCACGCATCCGCCATTACAGTATTACCATACTAGTTTGACTGCCCTGATAAATCCCTTGTGCTTGTCAGACAACCCCTTGGCTACCACTGACAGGTTTTTCATCTTTATAGTTTTGCCTTTTCCAGAATGTCATATGAATAGAATCTTATACTATGTAGCCTTTTTAGACTGGCTTCTTTCACCTAACATAATGAACTGAAGAGTCATGTATAACTTTGTGTGGCTTGTAACTTATTCCTTTTCATTGAGGAGTAGTAATATCATTGTCTGCTTGTGTGTGTATATATATATATATCCACCAAACGAAATACATTTTGGATGCTTCTATTTTTGGTGATTATGAAATGAGCTTTTGTATACATTCATATACAACTTTTTATGTAGACTAATTTTTCAAATCAATTGGGCAAATTGATTATGACTGCTGAATCTTATGCTAAGTCTATGTTCAGTTTTTTAAGAAAACGCCAAATTATCTTTCAAAATGACTGTATCGTGTTGCGTTTCGACCAGCAATGAATGAGAGTTTCTGTTGCTCCACAACTTCACTGGCAATTGGTCTTGGTTTTGTTTTCGTTGTTTTGCTTTTTTATGGATTTTGGACATTCTAATAGGTGTGTAGTGGTATCTCATTTTAGTACACAATTATCTAATGACAAAGGACGCTCAGTACTTTTAGTATGCTTATTTGCCATGTGTGTATCTTCTTTTGTGTAGCGTGTGTTCAGATCTTTGACTATTTTCATTTTTTTCTATCATTGCGCTTTAGGAATTCGTGTATGTTGTAGAGACATGTTCTTTACCATATATATGTACCACAGATGTTTTCTGCTAGTCTGTGGCTTCTGCTTTCATTTTCTTAACATTGTCTTTTGAAGAGCACATGATGTATATTTTAATAAAATCAGCTTGGCAAATTTTTCTTTCATTGATCATGCTTTTGGTGTTGAATTTAAAAGCTCACCACTGAACTCAAAGTTATGTGAATTTTCTCTTATGTTTTCTTATAGAGGGTTGTATAGTTTTTGCATTTTGCATTAGGTGTATGATGTATTTTGAGTTAATTTTCGTGGAATATGTAAGAATGTGTCTAGGTTATTATAATTTGTGTATAGATGTCTAATTTTTCAGGCACCTTTTGTTGGAAAAACTGTACTTTCACCATTATTGCCTTTGTTGTGAATCATCTGACTGTATGTGTGCAGGTCTATTTCTGAGCTCTATTCTGTTTTATTAATCTACATGTCCATTCTTTGCTAATGCTTATGTCCTCCACTAAATTCATATTGTGAAGCCCTCAGTCCCAGGGTGTCTGTATTTGGAGATGAGGCCTCTAAGGAAGTAATTAATGTTAAAAGAGGTCATAAGAGTGGGGCGTGGATCCCATAGGATTAGTGTGGTTATAAGAAGTTAGAAGAGAGAGAAGAAATTACTTTTGTGCCTGCACTAGCTCTCTCTCTCTGTTTCTCTTTCTCTCTGCACATGCACAGAGGAAAGGCCAAGAACGGACATATTGAGAAAGGGCCATCTACGAGCC